ATAAAATATTTTTGAACAGGGCTGAGGATTTAGCTCAGTGGTTCTCTCTCCTGCCTTGCAAGTACAAGAATCTGAATTCGATTCCAGGTACCAAAAAAAAAAAAAATTCTGAATAATATGAGAATATCTCTGTAATTACACCCACTTAAAAAAATCAAATGCAGTGGGTATAGTTGAAGCTGTCTCCCTTTTAGCTATCACATCCCCTTTCCTCCCTGCCAAAGGTAATTACTATCTTATATTTGTTGTTCTATTCTTAAGAATATTTGAAAATTTGATATATTGGCATCCAAAGTCACATATTTTTAAAGTTGTACTTTTTTCATTTAAAGTTATGTTTGTGGGCTGGGGATTTAGCTCAGTGGTACTGTGCCTGCCTTGAAGGCACAAGGTCCTGAGTTTGATCCCCAGTACAAAAAAATAAAAATAAAAAAATAAAGTTATGTTTGTAAGATGTATCTGTGTTGACATATAGTTATTGTTCACTTATTTTTGCTGCCATATAGTATTACCTCTTCGAATATTTTATGCTTTATCCATTTTCTTCTTCATAGGCTCTTAAGTTGTTTATAATTCATTGCTTTTACCTTGTTTTTCCAGGGAACCATGTTTAGCATAACAGGATGATCTGGTACCCCCTTTATACAGGGCGGTATAACTAGGAGGATGTAACCGGAAGGCCTCTTACAGAGGTTGACAGACACTTTGGTCCTCCACCACTGCTTGCAATCTGACTAGACTGTTGTGCTTCAAAATGACCATTTGATTAGAACTAGAAACTACATAAGGGCTTTGCAATCAGATTTCAGTTAGCAATCACAACCCAAGGAGCAAGAAGTTACCCAACTGACCTTTATAGGACCAATGCTGGTATATTTTTTAAAAAGGTAATTCTTATTATGTGGTAACATTTTGTAAACAAGTCATAATACAAAACAATCACCACCTAGAACTGGTTGTTTTTTATATATCGTTAAATATCTTGCAAGTATACATTAGGAATAAAAATGTTCCACATGAAAAAACAATGACTGCTCTTTAAGTCTCCCATGATGACTCTTGTGCCTGTTTTCTTGTGTGTGTATGTATGAGCTCACCAGGGCAGAACTTGGAAGAACAGTTGCTGTGCTCTCTGGTGTATGTGTCCTTGGTTTTACTGGTTTGCAGATGTACTCTTCCAGGCCTAGGACTTGAGTATTGACACGCTGTTTACATTTCCTAGTCCTGTGGGTAGGAAACAGTGTTTTGTTTTGTTCAACAAGAAATAAAAGACTTACATTACAGTTTTTTTCAAGCATTTACCAAGGTGAAGCCATTAGTGCAGACCTGTATCTTATCACCCTGCCTCCACAGTTACCAACACATGGCCAGTTATCTTTATTCTGAGAGGAAGCCTGGGCTGTTACATTATTCTCTCTGCAAACACTTTTTATGTATCTGTAGCACTTAAACTCTTTCAAACAGAGCCTCAAAAACTGTATCCTGCCTAGTGTGGTGGTACATGCCCATAATCCCAGCATTCAGGAGGCTGAAGGAAGAGGGATCACCATAATTTCAAGGCCAGCCTGAGCTACATATGAGGTCAGGGCCAGCCTGAATTACATAACAAGACCCTATTCAAAAAGAAAAAAAACCACCAACCAATGAAACAAACAAGAGTATCCCACTAAAAATAATGATAATATCTCCATGTTATAAAAAATGAGATAAGATTTCCATTTTTCCAATGAAAATATTTTTACATTTGGTTGGGTAAAATGCATATCTAAATAAGATGCACACATTGTAATTGCCAGGCCCCCTGCACCATCCCTTACAACATCTCTCTTTGGAATGTTAGCGACCATTGATATTTTCTTGAAAGATCCACTTATTCATTGGAAGTTGCAAAATGATGGTGTCTGTCATTTCTTTCTTGGTTATTAGCAGAATACCTCTATTAGAGATTTTTTCTCATCAAATAATCGGTGATTTTCTTTCATTCATTAGCTTTAAAAAACAGTGAATCCCTTACTGTCTTCCAAAAGTGACTATTGAGTTTGCTTATTGATCTTTATATACTGGTAGATTTAAGCATACTGTATTTGATAAGATCTAATCCATCACTCTTTTCCTTTATTGATGCTTAAATTGCCCAACTTTGGCCAGTGGGACCATCTTCAAGTTAGCTCTTGACTACTTTTGATATAAACCTAATAGTATTTTTTATTTTTATTTTTATTTTGGTACTGAGGATCAAACTTGGGCCCTTGCGCTTGCAAGGCAGTAGATGGAACTACTGAGCCAAATTCCCGGTCCCCTAATAGTATTTTTAAAAAAAATAGTTTTCTTGCCTCTTGTCTGATGAGGTGTTTCAGGTTCATCTTATACATTTCCTGCCTCAGGCCTGGAATCAGCTGTTTCTCAAAGGAGACCTAGTCACATAGCTAACCTCTGCCTAGCATATGCCAAAATTTCAGACCTCCAGAGAGAAAGCAGTTTAGCACTAACCATATTGTTTATATAAATATTTCTGGCACCATAAGCCATTCTTATGATGAAATGGTTGTTAACCCCCTGAAACTGAAATTCACGGATGCCAGCCAAGGCCTGGTGACTAAAGGGTTAATATTTGGAGACCTGTTATGCCACCTGTTCTCTGTGTTTCCCTCAGATGTCTGGTGGAGGTGCTGGGTAGGGAGCAGGTTGGATAAGGTGCAGAGGAGAGCTGACGATGGAGACAGACATGTGGTAGTCATTAGCACTTAGTGCCCATTAGGTTCTGAGACAGAAATTGCACAGGGAGTGAGTGCAGAGAAGGACCCGAGCCCTGGGCCCTTGAGCAAGAAGTAGAGGAGCAGCCCCCAAAGGAGGCTGAGGAAGAGCAACTGGGGAGGTAGTTGAAAGTGGGGCAAGTGGCAAGGAGATTTGATATCCTTAAAGGCAAATGGAAAGAGTGTGGGGAGATGGCATCAGTGGTATCAAGTGCTACAGACAGCCTGTTAAGCTGGAAATAGGAAGTTGACTGCAGCCAAAGTGCAGGTCACTGGGTATCTTGAAATGAACCATTGTTGATGTATAGTGGCTGGGACAAAAGCTTGGTAGAGGACCTTAAGAGAGAGCAGAGCAGAGAGGGTACAGACAGTTCTTTCAAGGCACTTTTCTAGAGATGGAAGGAAGTGGAAACTGTGCAAAATGGAGGGAGATAGGCAATAAGGAATAACTGCACAGGGAATCATAGCAGCATGTTGTGTCGGTAGAGATGCTCCGGTACAGAGAAACGTCCATGATGTGGGGGTGATGGTCCTCTGTGGGGCCAGGACTTGGTATGCAAATGTGGGAGAGGTGGCCTTGCACAGAAACACAGATGCTCATCTCTCCTGACGGGAAGGCGGCAGAGTGTGGGTCCACAGAGATGGGCTGGGAGATGTGCTGTGGGGAGAGTGTGAGTGGGGACTTACAGGGTGAAAGATGTAGAGAGTTATCTTGAAGAGTGAATGCTTAGCAGGATGTGATGGCTAGGTATTGCTTTCTGTTTAGAGGTAATGACTTTAAAATGAAACTGGTCTTTCATAACTCTCCTCTTTTATAGATCTCATTTCTTGTGTGAAAGGTGTGTAACAGGGGCTGGGGATGTAGGTCAGTGGTAGAGAACTTGCTTGGGATGTGTGAGGTCTTGGGTTCAGTCCCCAGTACTTGGAAGCCAAACAAAATAAAACCCCAAAATGCTTATAGCCGCAATGCCTGTCTCCCATGATAGCACTCTTCCCCACTAGATCATCATTTTCTGTTTAGAGCTTATAGTGTTGATTGCATTATTTTAAAGCTACTTGGTTATGAGGTATGATAAAAATATAGTTAATGTTTTTGAACACATTGTTCTTGCCCCTTTCTGAGATGGTTCTGCAAGTCTTCTTCCATGTCTTTTTTTTTTCCTTTTTTGAGACAGAGCACACCTATGTAGTTCAGATTGAGTTCAGGCTGGCTTTGTTTGGTTTTGTTTTGTTTTTGGTACTGGGGATCAAACTGGGGACCTTGCACTTGCGAGGCAGGCAGTGGAACCACTGAGCTAAATCCCCACCCAGGCTGGCTTTGAATTCACTATGTTACCTAAGTTAGCCTTGAACTCATGATAGTGTTCTTGCTTCACCTTCCTGAATGCTGTGATTATAGGTGTGCACCGCCATGCCTGGCTAGAGAGTCTCTTTAGTTGTGCTGTTACGGCTGCCCTGATGTCCTGAATCCTTTCAAAAATGTTTACCTTTCTTGGTAATTTTGACTTTGGGAGCCAGACGTTACATAGTACCAGATCCATGAATAAAGTGATTGAGAACACACTGTCATGTTTTTATGAGCCTGCCTTTCCACTGACACTTGGCAGCAACATTCACTGAATTTTTGATCACTTCTACTATAGTCTTTCATGAAAGAGAACTTCCAGGACTGCTTCAAAAACTGGCAAGGACCATGAGATAAATTTGTTTGAATCAGGTGGGAGTATTTTGAGGGAATTAATGGCACTGTGTAATACATTTAAAAAATTTAAATACTCACTGTATAGTTTGATTATGCCTCTTATGTTCACTATTTTCTGTCTTTTTTTTTTTCTTCCCTGAATCAGGGTTTTGCTATGTAGTTCAGGGTGGCCTTGAGCTCAATATGTAGGTCTGGCTGGCCTCAAATTTGCTGCCATCCTTCTGCCTCAGCCTCCTGAAACCTAGGGTTACAGGTGTGCTCTACCATGTCTGGCTTTTATTTTATTTTTTAAATCATGCCAACAGTTTTTCAGGCCAAGAACCTTATCTGTCTTTTGTTTGCTAGCACTGTAAAAATGTTTCAGTGAATTTTAGGAATAGATCTCTAATGAGAATTTAATGTCAGTTATGAACAAGCAAATAGTTCATATGATTCTTTATGTTTATCTCAGTGAGTGTGCTGTTCACCTAGATGTATTTGTATCAGTTCATGAAGTTTCTTTTTTTATATACTACAAAATTATTGTCAATCTCTTTGTATTATAGAAAAGATGAGAAGATACAGAAACGATTGTTGATTGTGCTAACAGACCAGTGTGAAGTAGACAGTGTAATCACTTGTGTGCTTTGAAGAAAAGCCTCATGTTTGTTACATTCTCTGCTTCCAGTCTGAGCTTCTGTTTTGGTTTTGGGAAGTGAGTTCACAGTTAAAGACGTAGGACCAAGACCTACTGAGATCATCTATGAGTCAAGAAAACAGGTAATTTAATGGTGGCTATAATATATTAAATGAATCCCCCCCTTTTAAACTAATGTGATTTATTATTTTTTGATTTATTTCTTTACATGTGACTTAACTGGGGGAAGGTTTTGCAACACAAGAAATGAGTGCACTGAAAATTTATTTACCTATTGGATATTAGTATTCTTAGCTTTATTTCTCTGAGATTTTTGTGAAGATATTTTTTGTGACTATATTGATTACTTTTATGATTTGTGTATTTATAAATGCTTTTAATTAAATCAAAATAAATCACCTTTTATGCTTTTGATTCATAGTTTGTATTACATTTTTCTTTTGGTTCCTTATTAAGTTAATATCAATTTATAAAAATTTAACAAAAAAGTTGATTTGGGATTTTTCATTTTTATCAGAAATTATGAGCAGAAGATCTCAAATCCACATTTTTTGGGGTGCTCCAGTTGGTCCCCTGAAAATGACAGGATCACAGGGAACAGCTTCTTCAGTGTCCACAGCTGACCGCTGGGGTAAAATCCAGCTATTGTACCATCAACATGCTTTACACGAGAAGGAAGAAAGCCGCAAGCCTGAAAACCTGAGAGACTTCGTGGTCCCGGAAGCGGTGGGTGTTCCAGGTCTTGTGAGCTCTGTTCAGAGCAGCTGTGGCTTTCCACATTCTCTTTCTGAAACACAGGATGGAAAACCCCAGAAGAATCTCTCAGGCCCGAGTGCTGTGCCTGCCTCTAGTGTGCAAATCAGAGGATGCAAGGGCACAGCCCAGCATTTATCTAAAGAAGAAAAACATCAAAATCTTCCATGTGAAAATAAAACCACAGGTGAACAGCCTGAAAATCAGTCAGATACATGCAGTCAAAACTTTCAAACAGATTCCTTTCATTTAGGCCCCAAATATGCAGCTATGTTGGATTTGGTCTCTAGTACTAGACACAGCAGTACAGGCCCTGAAGCTATCGAGACAAAATGTGTGCAGACAGAACACCAGGAAATACAAAGCCAGAATCCAGAGTTCTCTGATGCAGTAGAGGAGCCGGGGCCTATGGGAGCAATGAGGAGGGGCCCTGGCCCTGACATCTCTGCAGACACTGAATTTCTCAGCATCATGACGTGCAGCCAGGTTGCTTTCTTAGCTCAAAGAAAGGAGAAAGGGCACATGGAGACTGAACCAAAGGTAGGTTCTGGGGAAGTAAGAATGACTGCAGATAATTTGAGTCAGCCTCATGTAGATTTTGTGCAACGATATGAAAGTGGACAAAACCAAGCACATTCTCTAGAACTTTTTAGTCCTGTCCACCCAGAAACAGAAAGCCACATCCAGATTAACCCTGGGCACAGTCTGGAGGGAAATGCAGGATCTCAAGAGCTGTTCAGCTGTGAAGATGAGCTGCCACCCAGTGAATTACATATTGAATTGTGTGGCATGGGAATACTGTGCTCCCAACTAAACGCTGTCCACCGAACTCATGTTGGAAGAAGTCAGACTTCCAAAGATAACTTGGGCCATTCTAAAGCTCTCTCTGAAGTCCCTCTGGCCTTTAAGAAAATGAAATTGTGTTCTAATGCAAGAGATTCTGCCAGAGCAAGGTACCAGAAGAATGTTTCCGAATTTAAGGGTACTAAAAAACTGTCATTAATAAAAAATTGTGATTCTAAAAGCCACAAGTATAATTGTTTAGTTATGGTGCTAACTCCATGTCATGTGAAAGAAGTAAACATAAAATCTGGACCAAATTCTGGCTCTAAGGTGCCTTTAGCAACAATTACAGTCGTTGATCAATCAGAAGTGAAGAAGAAGGTGGTTCTGTGGAGGACTGCGGCATTCTGGGCACTCACCGTGTTTCTTGGAGATATAATCTTACTCACAGGTGAGTTCATCACAGGATAGTGGCAACTTTTCTCATGAAGCAGTGGCTTTTGGTTTTTCTCCCACCTTAATTCTTTGAGGACTCCCATTTGCCTCCTCTGGGCCCAACCAGATTGGCCCCTTGTGACATTTGCATGGGTCTCCTTTGTGCTCTGCTGCCTGGCATCCCACGTGGTACCATTTCTGGTCTCTGACTGTCCTACTTGTTCTGTGCCACCTTTCCATTCATCTTCCCTTTAACAAGCCTTCTCTGGGTCTCCTTCATTCATCAAGAAGCTGCTTGGATTGTCCTTGAGCTCCTTTTCATTTCCTTATGGTTTTATCTATGTCTGAGTTTTAACTTTTCTTTAACTATGTGAGAAGCCTTAGGATGAAATACCTTTCTACTACTTTATCCCTAATGCTGCACACATTACCTTCTTACTGAGAGAATAGGTAGAGGTTTCTATTGCTTTTTTTTTTTTGTTACCAAAGATTGAATTGGGTACCTTTTGCCTTTGAAGCAGACAGCAGAACCATTGAGCTAAATCCCCAGGCCTCTATTACTTTTTTAATCATTAAAATTATATCAATCGCTTTTTGAAATATGAGAAAGAAAAACTTACAGTATTATTACCAATTTTATATAACCAGTAATAGAGTTTTGGAATATTATCTTTCAGTTATTTTCTTTGTGTGCCTTAAAATGTGATCAATAGAGCTGTGTGTGGTAGCTCACATGTGTAATCCTAGCACTTGGGAGGCTGAGGCAGGAGAATTGCTACAAGTTTGAGGCCAGGTTGGGCTACATAGTGAGTTTAAAGCCAGCCTGAATTACAAAGTGAGACTCTGTCTCCCAAAAAACCCCCAAATAAAAAAGTGG